ACTGATCTACATCTGCTCAGAATAACAAGTAGCTCATGTAAATAACATCTGTCTCTGCACACTGAACTCATTGGGCAACTTCTTAATCCATTGTGACAACTTAATTTTCTGTATGATGAGTTGTAAAGTCACAAGCAGTAGAAAATGGCACCCAATAATCCAGAGTAAGAGATAAAGTGATTGGATATCAGTTGTCAGTGGTGAGGGAAGGGAGGGGAAGGGGAAGGGAAAGGGAAAAAGAGGTGTAGGAAATTAACACCCCTCTCCTAGAAAAATGAATATTATATTTCCCTGCATCAAAAATGAAGAAAAATGTTTTAGGCAAGAAACAGACTCACTCTTAATAGCTCCCACCTTTGTCAATGGGCTATTTAAAAAGCATCGACCAATCTATTCTACATAACAAAGATCGCCTCCTTCCAGTCCAGGGTGATGGGATTAAGGCATGGTAGTATTAGGCCTTTATCCATTTCATAACAGGGCACCTGAGAAGAAGCAATGCTCAACCAAACATGGACTCAAGACACCTTACAGAGTTGCCCCTGCATGGTCCCATGGGAGTTTGACAACCAATCAGAATACAAGGTCAAGATCAAAGGCCAGAGAAGGCATAAAATCAGCATCTCACTCTCTTTTCTTCTTCACCCAACATCTGGAAGCATGTGATGATCCCCCTTTTCTGTTCAGGAGCTCAAGCCATGTGATCCTGTCCACCATTAAACCATCTTTCCAAGCAACCTCCATGTTTCCAGTTTCTTTTTCTCCACTTGGAATTGAACCCAGAAGGGCAATTTCTTCCAGCAGAGGAAAAGCAAGACAAGTTCCTATTCATCAAGCATGGCAGACATTCAGGACTCAGACAAATAAGCTGATAAGCATGGTTATCTTCCCAATAAACTTCCAATATTCCATCAAGAAATAAGGATCAAAATGCAGTTCTTGAAAATGCCACTGAAAGCTAGCAAAAAACTCACTTTTATGATTTAAAAAAATGCAATCTTGTACCTGAATTTTCACTGCAGGAAAGAAGCGTTCTGCATGCCCTGAGATAATAAATAGTAATAACAAGGGTTCCAACAGCTATCAGTTTTTGGATCAGATAATCTCTTGAAATATATTTAGGCAACATCATAATATATATACCATTTATATGTATATACCATTTGACCATTTGAGATGGGGATGAGATTTCTTAAGTCATCATTGAGTTAGCTGAGCTGGAAAACTTGTAAGCCACTTGCATTCCCTTCGGAGGCCACAAAACAAATTATTTCCTATATTAGCACAGGTTGGACTTGATCCAGCATCCAGCCTTTTTATTTCCTGTGTTGGATGAGGAGAGGACATCTTTCTCCTTATGTCCTGGCCACTTTTTACAGAGGCAGGTTTGACATCATTTTAATAAACTGCATCACTGTTTGGTGTGGTGGCAGCAGTGCCTCAGATAGAAAGTCCATACAGAGAGTGGTGAGGACAACAGAGAAGATTATGGGAAGCTCGCTTCCCATTATTCAGGATACTGCTTATAAGCGCTATGTCCTTAGAGCTTGAACCGTTGTCAGAGACCCCACACACCCACTTTACAGTCTGTTTCGGTTGCTTTCCTCTGGGAGGAGGTTTCAAAGTATTTATAGCATGACTACCAGATTCTGTAACAGCTTTGTTCCTTCCCTGTCACATCTGTCATGTAAACTTCTTTTTTTTTCCACCATGTATGTATACATTTCAACTAGACTGTGATGTTTTTCTGTGACATACAGAGGTGGGTTCCTACCAGTTCNGTATTGTATTGTATTGTATTATTGTATTGTATTTGTATTTGTATTTGTATTTGTATTTGTGTTTGTGTTTGTGTTTGTATTGTATAGTTCTCCAGTGCAGAGAAGAGCAACCAGGATGGTTAGGGGAATGGAGACTAAAATATATGAAGAACAGTTACAGGAACTGGCCATGGCAGGTCTAGTGAAGAGAAGGACCAGGAGGAACATGATATCAGTGTTCCAATATTTGAGGGGCTGCCACAGAGAGGAGGGAGTCAAGCTATTTTCCAAGGCACCCGAAGACCGGACAAGGAATAATGGATGGAAACTGATCCAAGGAGATTCAACCTGGAAATAAAGAGAAGTTTTCTGACAGTGAGAACAATCAACCACTGGAACAGCTTTGCCTCCAAAGGTTGTGGGAGCTTCATCACTGGAGGCTTTCGAGAAGAGACCGGACTGCCGCCTGTCAGAAACAGAATAGGTTCTCCTGCTTGGGCAGGGGGTTTGACTAGATGACCTACAAGGTCCCTTCCAACTCTGTTAATCATCTGTTAGTTGTCTGTCTCCCTGTATTTTATTTTCTATGATGAAACAATACATTTCATCATAGAAACCCATCAATAAATGCCTGAAAAGAGGAAAGGGGCAGGGCCTCGTCCACCCACTTAGATACGGTTTGGAGGACAGAGGAAAAAAAGGAAAAATAGCAGCAACCACAACAGCAGCAGCAGCCTCCTCCTTCCATCGGCCTTGATCGTCACTTCCGCCCAATACACACACAAACACACACAGAGAGAGAAAGAGAGAGGGAGAGAATGAAGGCTGGCTGCGACTTCCCGCCGGGAGCGCCTTCGCGGGGCGGTTCGGGCTCTGCCCGGAGGAGACCCTCCGTTTGGGGGCTCCTGTGCCTGGGGCTGTGCTGGTGCCAGATCTCCGGGATGGTCACTCCGGATCAGGTAACGCCGGCGTGGAGTCGCTCGACTTTTTGTGGGGGGACACAGATGCCCGCTTTGGGCGCTGGGATCGTCTGAATGAAGAAGTCCCCTTCGGGCTAAGCGAAGCCCCCCCTGACCCAGATGCCTCCTGCGTGCGGGGAAAGGTGGGGTGGGGTGGGGAGGTGGCCAGGCAGAGGGGCTGCCTTGGAGGAGCAACCGAAGCCGCGTCCCTTGGCTAAGCTGCAAAAGGACCGGAGGAGACAGGAGGTCGCCCGGGGAAGGGACTCCCGCCACTCGGGTGACTCACAATAGCAGGGCCGTTGTTGTGGTGGCGGTGGTGATTGAAGTTTAGCCGGCTTGCTTCGCTGCTCCGGATTGTTGGGTGGTTCACACGCGTGCGGCGTGTGTGGACCGGTTCACGTCCCAGCCGGCGAAGGAGCAACTTAGGACGCCTTTCGGGGCTGGAAAGGGACCCTGGAGGTCTTCTAGTCCAACCCCTTGCTGAAGCAGGAGACCTTGCCCCATTGCAGACAGATGGATGTCCGCTCTCTTCTTCTTTTTTTTCTTTTTTTTCCAATTCAAACCGTTATTGTCAGAGTACAAGGTGTAAAGAATAGAATAGAACAAGAGTTGGAAGGGACCTTGGAGGTCTTCTAGCCTAACCCCCTGCTGAGGCAGCAAACCCTACACGGCTTCAGACAAATGGTTAGCCAACATCTTTTTGTGTGTGTGCATTTCCTTGCTCTTCTTTTTTAAAAACACAAATAATGCAAACAATACATATAAAACTGAATTAAAAAAAAAAAAGACGAAGCATCCGCAACGTCTGGAAGCAAACCGTTACACCAGTTGTTTGTCCTCACTGTCAGAACATTTTCTCCTTATTCTATGTTGCTTCTATCCTTAGTTATTTTCCACCTAGTGCTTCATATCCTGTCTTCAGGTGCTTTGGAGAACAGATTGACACCTCCTCCTTTATGTCTATGGAGATTCTCAGTCATCCAGGTCACGGGTGTGCTTTTTCAAGAGGCAACGGGGACTTTCCGTTTTTTTCTTTGAGGACAAAGAAGAAGAAACGTCTTGGATGAGAAGTGAAACAACTTCAAAGAAAACCCAGAAAGTCCTGTTGCCTCTTGAAAAAGCATCTTTGGGACCTTCTTCTTTATGGCAACCCCTCAAATATTGGAGCACTGCTATTCTGTCACCTCTTCTTTTCACACATACCCCAGTTCCTGCAACTGTTCTTCATATATTTTAGCCTCCGGTCCCCTAATCATCTTGGTTGCTCTTCTCTGCACTCTTTCCAGAGTCTTAACATCTTTATATTGTAGTGACCAAAACTGAATGCAGTATTCCAATGGTGGCATTTCCAAAGCATTATAAAGCAGTACTAACACTTCATTTGCCCCAATTATGGGAGGAAGCTAACTGCTTCCATTCTCTGTCAATCGGCTCGTCACAAGAG